GCACTCGCAGTAAACGGTATGAGACAGAGTCTCAATATTCGGCCGAAGGAACTGCACACAGTTCCAACCAATCTCGAGAGTTGCTGTTTTAGCAATACACCTACTAGGTCGTGGTGGACGGCCCGACGTGTTCGGGAATGCAAGCTACAGCTGGGCTGAATTCAATGGTCAACCTTGTCCATCCAATCTGTCCGGCCGCTCTTGGCCAATCAGCTTCAGATCACTCCTTTGTCAAGTGCACTTCTCTGGACATCTCCTTTTCAGCACCTTTTAATATCCAACACAACTCCTTCACACACCCTCAACGGTTCTTCAATCAACTCTCTCAACTTCAACCAAGCAATCGACCAATCCTTCTTCAACAACACCTTGGTGCTCCTTAGTCATGCAGATACACGCAACGCTTCTGTGCTTTGATCCACATCAATCATGTCTGTTTCATCTGTTCTACCTTCTTTCCTGAGTACACAGTTTTCTGGGGACTGGAACCCTCAATCATTTCTTCCTTTCCTCTTTCTTTCTGAGGCAGGGACAAAAGCTTGAAAACCCAATGGCTCCTCTTGGCCATCATTCTTTGCTGTCAGCTTTCTTTCGCCTTTCTTTCTTTCTTTCAATACCTTTCACCTTTCCTAATCCTTTTCTTTTCCTTTTTCGTTGGGGGCTTGAACCTCCAATCTTTTCAGTGGGGACTGGAACCTCCACTTCCTTGCAATTCCTGCTCTCTGTGGGGACTGAAACCTCCACTTCCTTTGCCCATTCTTTTCTTTCAAGCTACTTCTCCTTCTTGTCCAATCCTCCATTCGTCGTACCTCAGTCAATCAGGCTTCACGAATCTCAGACACAACCTTAGCTTCACTCAGCATCAATGCGTGTCGTCTTGGCTACTTGCAATCACCAAAAGTTCCTACCAAAACTCAAACGAATCAAACGTCCCTATCAAAACTCGCAATCACTCACAGCAGTCACAACAAAACTCTCTCTGCCTATTCTTCGCAATGCCTTCACAGAGCTGACATGTGCAATCTGCACCTCGCACACAATCTCTGCCACAGTACACTGCTTCAGATAAACGCTTCGCCAATCTCTCTGGCGCTTCCAAAATCTACACATGCTGCTCCAAGCAAAAAGGTTTGTACAATGTTTCTCACTCTTCTCAATTCGATGCACAAAACAATCTACCAGGCTTCTCGAACGACCATACAGCGAAAACGAACTTTGTACACTCCTACCTTACTGAGCTAGTCAATGAGCAGGCCCCAGCTCTTAAGCCGAAGCTCCGCTACCATGAAATTTTCAAAGGTCACTTTCTGTACAATATCAAACTGTATGTAAACTACCAAACACATGACTGTTCAATCAATGGTCTTGACCACACCACAATACAAGCATACAACTGTCAGATGCAATCTCTCGCTCAGCAATCTTTTGTGTCACTTGGGCTGAGCCAATCTAGAGCCACTTGAGCCAATGCATCATGGACATGGCAATGTCCACATGCCAATGTTCTCTGTCAGTGTTGCATGTTCTTCACGCACTGGACAATGTACATGTGCAGGAGGTAAAGCTCAATCCTAACATTTAATCCCCCCTTTAAGCCCCCCTCCCCCCTTTAAAATGCCCCCTTAGAGCCCCCCTTTAAGGCCCCCCCGTTTTAAGGGGCTTCAACCCCCCCCTTTAAGCCCCTCTATACTTGCTGGGCCTTTAGGCAGCAATTTGGAGGCGTAACACTTTGCTGGGCCTTCTGCAGAGGGTTTAGGCAGCAGTTCAAGAAGCCCAATACTTGCTGGGCCTTTTTTGAGGGTTTGGGCAGCAGTTTAAAAGGCGCAACACTTGCTGGGCCTTCTGCGGAGGGTTTAGACAGCCTCTAGAGAGACTGAGAGAGACTGAGAGAGACTGAGAGAGACTGAAAGAGAGAGACTGAGAGAGACTGAGAGAGACTGAGAGAGACTGAGAGAGACTGAGAGAGACTGAGAGAGACTGAGAGAGACTGAGAGAGACTGAGAGAAACTGAGAGAGACTGAGAGAGACTGAGAGGGACTGAGAGAGAGACTGAGAGAGAGACTGAGAGAGACTGAGAGAGATTGAGAGAGAGAGAGACTGAGAGAGACTGAGAGAGACTGAGAGAGACTGAAAGAGAGGAGAGAGAGAGACTGAGAAGACTGAAGAGACTGACTGAGAGACTGACTGAGAGAGACTGAGAGAGACTGATGAGAGAGAGACTGAGAGAGGGACTGAGAGAAAGAGAGAGAGAGGAGAGAGAGAGATGAGAGAGAGAGACTGAAGAGAGAGACTGAGAGAGAGACTGAGAGAGAGACTGAGAGAGACTGAGAGAGAGAGAGACTGAGAGAGACTGAGAGAGATACTGAGAGAGACTGAGAGAGAGACTGAGAGAGACTGAGAGAGACTGAGAGAGACTGAGAGACTGAGAGAGACTGAGAGAGAACTGAGAGAGACTGAGAGAGAGACTGAGAGAGAGACTGAGAGAGAGACTGAGAGAGAGAGAGAGAGACTGAGAGAGAGCGAAATACTGAGAGAGAAACTGAGAGAGACTGAGAGAGACTGAGAGAGACTGGAGAGTGAGAGAGACTGAGAGAGACTGAGAGAACTGAGATAGACTGAAGATGAAGAGAGAGAGAGAGAGAGAGAGAGAGAGAGAGAGAGAGAGAGAGAGAGAGAGAGAGAGAGAGAGAGAGAAAGAGAGAGAGACTGAGAGAGAGAGAGAGCTCTTTCAGTCTCTCTTTCAGTCTCTCTTTCAGTCTCTCTTTCAGTCTCTCTTTCAGTCTCTCTCAGTCTCTCTCAGTCTCTCTAAGTCTCTCTCAGTCTCTCTCAGTCTCTCTCAGTCTCTCTCAGTCTCTCTCAGTCTCTCTCAGTCTCTCTCAGTCTCTTTCAGTCTCTCTCAGTCTCTCTCAGTCTCTCTCAGTCTCTCTCAGTCTCTCTCAGTTTCTCTGTTTCTCTCAGTCTCTCTCAGTCTCTCTCAGTCTCTCTCAGTCTCTCGCAGTCTCTCTCAGTCTCTCTCAGTCTCTCTCAGTCTCTCTCAGTCTCTCTCAGTCTCTCTCAGTCTCTTTCAGTCTCTCTCTCTCTCTCTCTCTCTCTCTCTCTCTCCTGGGATTGTTGGCGGGATTTTACTGGTCGCGTGGGCACGCTAGAGGCTGCAACGTCCTTCCTTGCAGAGTAAACTGCAGCACATGGCCCCACAGACCAGTCACCAACATGGAATATGTATTTTGCACACATACAACAGGAGAATACTTACATCCATCACAGTCAGTCAAACTTGCGAAAAAGTGTACGAAGAGCATCGGCGCATGCAGCTTTTGGAGGTGAACAACATGGAACCCATGGACACCACCCCTTACGCAAAGACATTCCGTGTCGTCGGGCACCTTCTTTTCCCTACCCGTTGCCCGGCGAGAACTCGAACCTGAGAAATGCACGCAGACAGCCGTGCATCAACAACAAAATTGCGCTGGCACAAGGATGGTCACAAGCAGAAGAGAAGAAAGCCGGCAATGCAACATGAGATGCATTGTCACTAGCGAACAGCTCTAATCCCTTCACGAGCTCAACGGTGAGAGGGGGAGCCTGCTAAGGTAGCATGATCCAGCAGCTTTCTTGCTAGTTTTGAGCATACACACGTAGCCACGCAACAAATCACCCGATGGCACAAGTGGCTTGCCGAATGCAAATTTCACAACCCAATGTCGTGAAGCACGCTTTAGAATCTGCTCCTTGCCTGTTATCATCATCAAACGTGATTGTGCGATGAACAAGTAAGCAAAACATACTAAGAACGATGCTTATGCGCCTGACTGCAAAGTGTTCCTGTGCCATTTTGAGATACATTCAGTTCAATTGTTTTTGATCTTTGAGCCCGTTCCGAGGAGCGGACGTTTCGCGTGTTTGGTCACCTTTTGGGCCCCTCAGGAACCGCAGACTTAGAGTAATCGGGAAAAAAGGTTGAACTCAAAAGCCGCGGCGATGTGCGAAGTGAAGGAGAGCAACAACATGTCGGTTTCGTGGTGGCAAAAATTGATTTGGCAAATGCGGTGTCGCAACCACACACATGTTCCTGTTGCGCATGGCATGTGAGCAGACCGCGCTGCTGCGAGCCGTTTCTTGGGAGTTGCATCTTCCTGTCCACATTTCTTGAGGGTGGTTGAACACCCCTGACGCCCAACATGCTCCTCACCTGCCGCTATGTGTATGTGTAGCAGTTGCGAATTTTGTTCTGATTCAGGGTTTAGGCCTTAGCGGGCCTACGCTTTGTGCTTGCTTGCAAGGCCGCAAAACTTCCCGCCATACGCATCCCTTCAAATTGTGAACCCAGCTCTTGAATCCGCAACCCAAAGCTGTCCAGCCCAAGTCGAATTCATCTAACGGACCCTGACCCCAAACCTAAAGCACTGCAATGCAAGTCCGAACCTTTCACGACACGACCCTGAGCCAAGACAGGAAAAAGAGAAAGGAAAAAACCCAAAACATACAAATAGGGGTTCGCCTGCAAGGGTTCTCGCACATAACCCAGAAAAAACATATAGTTCATGCACTGGTGTGTGTTTTGCAGCAGGCCAAAGCGGCCAGAAGTTGGTAAGACCATCAATTCCATTAGTCATCACGGACGATCAAGGAACAAGTGGGTTTCCTTATCTATTCTCTTGTCCCGTCATTATGAGCTGAGGACCAGACCAATTGAGCAGTAACATTGCCCGATGTTGAAAAAAGACGGACGGAAGCTTTGCTTGTGCCGACTGGCGTGGCTTTTATTTGTTGAGCCGCAGTGAAAGAGATGGAGTAAGGAGTTCATGCAAAATTGAGCAGTTTCGAGATTGATGTGGTGAGCCGACACCTGAAAGGTTTTGTACTGGTACATGACACCGTGAGAAGAACTGCATTTTGTCAAGTTCAGATGTTGACCCAAATGGTCATGACAAGCATTGCTGCCTCTGCACTAGTACTTTTGTCGTCCGAGCAGAGCAACGATACGCACAGCCTGGCAAGCGATGCTGATTGTGGCCGTTAGTCCCACGCGGAAAGTTCCGCCAGGTTCAGCTACATGGACACATACCCTCCAACAAAGACATGCCGACATAGACGTACTTCCGGTCATGCTGAGGCAGTTCAAGACACTGTCGTCATGCTTTTCGGAGAGCCAGTCGGTTCCACAATCCTGGTCTTGCCCCACGACCAACGAGACATCGCCAGCTCAACCCGTTTAGCCATCGTTGAGGCGTGTAAGTTTTTGACAATCGTTGAGCAAAGTTTCTCTGGCCAGGGTTTCGTGAGTGCATTCTATTAGCAGCGAAGCTTTGAAAGGAGCTGGAATGAGGACAGTCTTGTGCTTGTTTTATGATCATGAGTGGCCGCAAGAGTTTTTGGGCAAGTTTTGGATTGTGGAAATTTGACTCGAATGGAAGTATCCGGATGTAAAGTCCCGCAGCAAAATTTTTTATTGCACTAAACTGGTTGGCACGGTGGTGGCACTGGCATGCCTGCATAAACATGCGTGGCCCGGAAATCTTGATTTTGCATTGCTTGAACTGAGCAGCTGGTTCGGCTTGGAGGCCCACAGTGCCGTTCCGGTGTTCCATATCATTCATATCCATCAATGTATCGGTTGACCTTCTTGAACCTGGCCGTTGCTTCTTCAATCTTCAACCAGGCAGGGTCCTCGCCTGTACGTTGCTTAGCGAAGGCCTAGTGGTTGTCAGCAGGTGAACTTGTGGAAGCATGCCGGCTACGATAGCCTTGCAGGCGAACCGAACTGTCGGCGGAAAATGTTTGGATATTGAAATTGAGGACTGGGTCTCCGGTATGTTCGGTGTTTCGCAAAAGGGTCATCGATCTTTGCCAAAGCAGCGCCGCCATTGCAAGCACATTTAGCATGTGTAACTGTGTAACTCTGCATAGCAACTCAGCCGATGCTAACAGGACGCGTCTTCTCGAGTCGTGCAGCTTTTACAAACAGGCGCGGAAACGCAAAATAGGGATCAGAAGCCGAACGCTGGTCCCCAAACTCCGAACCTTCAGCCCATTTCAAAACACAGCCCTAAAAAAAAATGCCCCAGACCCCCACATCGCAGATAGCCGAGCGGTGCGTCAACAGCGTCTCCACGAGAAAGACGAGGGGGGCAAGGCCCAGCAGGCAAGACCAGCTCTGGAAGTTACATACCTATTTTATGGAGCATTAATTTCTATCTATATATATTTATATTTGAATATTTATATATTTATATATTTATATATTTATATATTTATATATTTATATATTTGTATTTTTATATATTTATATATATATATATATTTGCTTTTTTTGAGCAAAAACCAAGCAGGATCCGGAACTCCCGGCAGCACTGCTTCCTTTGCTGTCTCAGCTCTGGTTACCTCTCCTTGTGGCTTGGGATGCACAAAGGGGAACCCACAGCCAACGGCAGCACGGCAGCACGGCCCAGTACTCACTCACATCCCCATCTCAGCCCCAGGTTGGCATGGTGCTCTTCGGTTTGAAAACCTCAACTACCTCGAGCACCGGACCTTCCAAGACGCAAGTTCCAGCGCTGACAGGCCTTCGCTTCGTGACGGCTCTCTGGATCTTCGCCGAGCACTCGTCAATGCAACCGCTTACCGGTGGTGGGACCTTCCTTGTCCTTTCAGGTTGCATTTTAAGCATGTCGCGCATCAGGGCAGGGGCTGATGCCGACAACTTCCTTCTAAGCTCTCCAATCACGGCCGGTCGTTTTCTGCTGATGCGAGCAGCGAGGCTGTATCCTCTCTACTTTGTTGTCCTGAGTTTGAGAGATGTTTGGCATGCGGCACTGTCAAAGCCTGTGACAGCTTTCTCCTTGCTGCTACAACCGCTCCATGTCATCCGGCATTGCATCAGCACCTTCGCCTCGTTGGCCGTTGAAAATCCTCGGGAAGTATTGCTGCTCAATGGGATACCTGGAACAGTGTCGACGTACTGGTTCATGCACACAGCAGCTAATCTCGAATTGGCATGTTTTTACTCAAAGAGAGCAGGACCCGCAACAGCTGAAAAGTTAACTGTGAGAGCAAGGTCATGTTCCTCTACGTGCTGTATCCGCTCCTTGAGTACTGCTTGCTGAGACCAGCAACTTCCGGCACGAGGCTCCTGGCGGTGGGCGCTGTTTGCTGTCTGGCAAAGTTGTTGATCGTGGGCTGGGCAACCTCCATTCTGGCCAAAGGCGGCTTTGAGGCGGCATCCCCGGACCCCACCCTCTTTCAATGGATGCAGGAGTAGGCCGTAGCCGGATCGTAGCGGATTTAACCAAAGCCCTGCTGAAGCCACAGCCCGAATGGCGACTTGTGATTAGCAGCCCTCAAGCTTGTAAGGTGCCACCCTCCGGGGCGGATTCTGACCACTGTGTGCCCCTTAGCCGTAGCACATGAACATCTGCAGGTTGGGGATTACTGGTATCAGCATGACTTGGGCTTCTTTGGTCGTGTACCGTGGTACAGCTTTGCGCCATTCCGCCTTCCGGACTTCGCTTTGGGTATGCTCGTCCCTCACGTTGCCAAGTACTTTTCGCCTGGCAGTGTGGCAGTGAAAGTGGCAGACCTGCTCCTGATTCTCTACGTCGTCCTTGCGCTCGTGCCGAAGAACAGCTATGTTTACCTATGGACGGATCTAGACTTGCAATGCCCCCTCATGGCTTTTGTGATGTGGAGTTTGTGCTTCGGCCGTTGTGAAAGCATGTTAGGACAGTTGCTTGCAAGCAAGTGGTTGGTGGAGTTCGGCACAGTGGCTTACGGGATTTATGTCTTTCAAGAGCCGCTGATGACAATGATGGGAGTGTATTACCCGGGTGATGTGGACGGGCTTCCTGGCACGTGTCGGCTGCACAACACCTGCTTCCCGTGGTTTCAATACACATGGAGGGGGTGTTCCAGCCTATGCATGACTTTTTTGCTGCTCCTCGCAATGGCAATCTCTGGCTTTTATCTGGTTGAAGAGCCGGCAAGGAAAGCTGCCTTTTCGTTATGCATTTCACGAGAGTTTAAGTTGAGATGGCTTCAAGCTTCGGATGTCATCCGTAGTTTTGTCCAGATGATCACGTATGCCTGGCCTATTCCACTCTCCATCAGCTTGGTGAGGATGTGGGGACTTGGTCCATTAGCTAGTGGCTTCTTTCTGTCCTTCGACCAGACGCTGTGGTATTCTTTGAGCATGACTGTTTGCTTTTTCTTTGTTTGTTCGTAGTCCAAAGCTTGCAGTGTATGCAGTAACAATTCACTTTCGCGTTCAGCGTTCAGCCTCAACAATCACGAGAACCTTGCATACTTTCTCCTTTTTGTGCGTAACCATGCTACGAGTTCTGACATGTTCTGACCTTGGTGCTTTCGAGACGAGCGCATGAGAACCCGGTGTGGACGACCCAACATGGAAGTGAAGCACCGATTGCATGTATGCCGTCGGAAGCGAAACTGAGCATGTGCTGACTTGTCATGCAGAGGGATGTTGGCCAGTGCATGAGTTTATGATTTGGCTGTGCGCCTGGGATGAAACAAGGGTTCGTAGGCCCTCTTAGGGGGAGGTGGTGGCTTCCCCCGCATATATACGTTCGCGGCCCTCTCGTTAGACGACCTCGAGGGAGAATACGGGGGCCCTGGAAGATTACATCATATGCGAGGCCATGGGGGATATCAAAGAACCGTTGGGCGATGCAGTCGGAAGGATTGAGAAGTTTGACCCTGCGAGGGCAATGTTGTCCTGAGTATGCAGCGTGTCAAAACGGGTTCTGCCGTTTGTACAATCGCAGACTTTACATCAGCGTTTGATCCCATCGAAGCCCGTGGCTAAGCGAAAAGACTTGGTGTGTTCACACAGCGAAACACATGCCCGAAACTTGCCATTCTCCATACTAGGATGGTTCGGTTTCTTAAGGATCGGGAACGTCCTGGGCATGACCTTGGGGGGGCGCCTCCGCGAAGTTTCTTGGGAGACAAAGCGGACACCTGGCTTGGGTTGGGAGTTGGGAGTTGGGGTTTGGACATTTTTAGGCATACGGCTGAAGACTTTTTCTTCGTTAGAGGCTTAGAGGGTTTACATAGTGTGCAACGATGTGCAACGGCCAGCTGAGGACATTCATCGTCCTTTGCCCCTTGTCCGCGGCTGGCTTCTCGCTGGTCTTAAGCTACGTCGTCTTGGAATCCTCATCCGACGCATTTGTTGGTGCCTGCCTGCTGCGGCTTGTGATCGGGCTTCTTCAAGGGCTTGCGCTAACAAACAGCGTTGTCACCAGGCAGCTCACACCCGGGGATGAGCAGGTGAGCCTGTCCATGTGGGTCAATCTGGCCTGGACCGGTGGTGTTGCTGTCGGTGGCGGGTTAGCCTGGGCAGCGGCTGAGGTGAGTGGGACTCGCCGTGCAGAGGCCGTTTCCTCCGTCGGCCGAGCAGCTGTTGAATCTTCCCAATGCTGTGTGATCTGCAGTGTCCTCTTGGTGCTGACAGCTTGCCTTTTAGCTTTTAGCTTACCATCAGCTCATCAGGATCCGGCACAGCATGAGCAGTCGGTGGAAGAGGAAGTGCTGACGAAGCCGAAACGGAACAACTCTTCCTCGGTTGCAATGTGGGGAGTTCTTTGCATTTTTATCGCTGCCGTCGAATACACCGGGGTGGAAGTTGCAACTTCCATGCTGTTGGAAACGCAGTTCGCCTGGCCTGTAGATTCCATCAGCGCCGGTGTGGATGTAGTTTTTGCATTGGCAACCATAGGCAGTCTGGTGCTTTTGCCCCTGCGCAGCAGTGGCTTGCTAAGTGATCGGCAGATGCTTTATGGAATGGGCTTGATTGCCCTGGTTGCCAGCTTTGCCTTTTTTGACTTTACGAGGGGCCCGTTGGCCCTTCTCACAGCCGATGTTGCGATTTACACATGTGTGCTCTGTGCTGTGGGGATTGCTGAAGGATTAACCTTCATGCAGATTACACCCAACGGCTTGCAAGCCACAGAGAAGCTCGTTTTCTACATGTGGCTGGGATGCATTTTCAATAATGTGCTTGCTCGGTGCTACCATTGCCTCAAGTCATGAAGCCGTAGAAGCATCTTCAACGCTTTGAGAACATGTTGAGCGCGTTGAGCTTGAACGCTTTGAAACCAATAAACCAACAATCTTGACGAAGAGAAGCCCGAGGTACATCGCCGATTCTCTGGGCAAAGCCACAGCGCCACCGATTGCTCGATGGATTCTTGGCACCCACGGCCGGAACGTCTACGCATTGTACCTTAGTGCTTCAAAAGCAGCAGTTTGAAGATCCTGTGATGAATGTGAAGCTTCACTGCTTCGAGTTCTGTAGAGAACCGCCCTTCATGATGCCTGCAGAATTGGACTGGACTGAGGTACCAGGTCACCCTCCTATTGCTGAACGGTTTCACAACTTTGAAAATCGTGTAAATTCGCTGCACACCCCCCGGTGGAAAGTAACTTCGATGCACCTATGATGAAAAGCCCGTGAAGCCATCTCCTGGAGTATTCCAGCATGCCTCCAAGTCGTCAAGGTCGCTTGCGTTCTCTGCCCACACATGAGTAGAAGAGACTTGATTGGGAACCTCTGGCCCAAAGTTGAGGCGTAGACTTTTACAACACATTGTTTTTTTTTGCCTCTCAACCTTGCCAAAATTGGAAGGCTGGCTTGTTCATTGGCTTGCTCATTGGCTTGCGCTAGTTCCTATCAGCCTGCGCAAATCCCATGCGGCTTGCTTCTCTTCTGTTTTCTGTAGCGTATCTTTGTGGTCGTTGCACATCGTTTTTTGTATGAGAACTTGCCGTTCTCAGCGCCATGCAGATGCAGCATCAGCACCCGGGCTTGGCCAGGTTATGTGAAGCGAAGGAGTCATGTTAATTCACGATGGGCCAGTGATGCCTCTGAATTTGAGCATGCGTTTCCTGGAGGAGACACCGCACCTTCGCCTCCTGTGCGTGCCATACAGTGGCGGAGCCTCGGTGGGGTGTGTAAGATGCTTCAGGCTTGCAGGATAATATCCTAAAGGCAATGGCACACGGGGCTGTTGCCCGGGGCCTGGCTATGGCCATGCTTGGGCAAAGCAGATGACAGCGAGGGTACCCCACTGCGCTCAATGCCACCTCACCGAAAGATCCCGTGCGCGCATGCACATGTGCAGCCATTCGTTCTTGTGTTGAGAGTTGGCGGTCTGGGGCCGAGGACACGCATCCGTGCGTTCAGTGTTATGTTAAGATATGTTACAACGAGTCAAGATATGTTAAGATATGTTAAGATATGTTAAGATATGTTAAGATATGTCAGGATATGTTAAGTTACGTTAAGATATGTCAAGGTATGTTTAGATATGTTAAGATATGTAAAGGTATGTTAAGATATGTTAAGATTTGTTGACAGATGTAGCACATGCCAGAATATGCTAGCTGGGCTGTTGTATGACATGTTCGAGTTAGTGAAAGCATCCTCAAGGGTACGAAACACGTAAAGAAAATCCTGGGCCCAGCTCCACCTCAGGATGGCCGTAGGACCCAAGGCCCAACACAGTGTCTCTAGAGCCCTGTCCAACATGAATCAACATGAATCTGCACGAGACTTACACGTTCAGTTGAGGAGATGCATCATCCTTCCGATCATGGGGGCTGGAGGATCAGTACCTGGAGGTTTGGTCTGTTCGGCTGCCGGGCCGTGCGAACAGGGCCCATGAGAAGCCTTTCAACGACTCTAGACTTCAAGGGACTCCAAAAGGGACTCAAGGGGCTTTAAGGTGCTGCTGGAAATCTGAACGAAGCTTTCAGATCTCCAGATTTCCTGCCTCAGCACAAGTATGTTTTTCCTGTGCATCCTGCTACGTCATTGCTTGTGTTTCCGCATGAAGTGTGTGGAGGTGTGACCGGAAAGTCGTTGGCAACCACGTGCGTGTAGCTGAGTCAGTAATGCTAACGGGGAATGCGGAACATCTGCCTTCCTGCCTGCCATCCCCCCACTTTCCTCATGCAATGTTGACCCAAGCAAACTTTTTCAGAGAGCGTAAAACGCATCTTTATGAATCGGGGACGGTTGAGGATTGGAGGGCGGCTGTCAACGAAATCGTTGTTGGACTGCAACAATTTTTCCTGGATGGCGTCCCTTTTGCGTCTCGGCAGCTCTACCGGTGGTGAAGCCTTGTCTGCCGGCAACGCTTTAAGTTCAATACCGTCAATACCGAAGCAAAAGCACGATGCACAGAGAATAGGATCAGGATGCCAGTGAACAGTAAACATCAGTAAACAAGCTCTGCAAACGACGAGTCACAAAGGGAAGAAGAAGCCATGGAGAAGCTGTTCCTTTTCCCGTTGCTTCATTTTTTAGCCGCGGAAAGCCCCCCAGCCAAGGCAATCTTAGGGCACTCGCTTGGCGCGCTGCTGGGCTTCGAGGTCATTAGGTCTCTTGCAGCACAAGGCCTTCCGCAGCCGATCCTTTTTCTCACCAGCTCGCATGCCCCTTGGTCTCCTTTGGGCAGGCCGCACTTTACCATCTCCTTTTGAGGGATGGTCACAATGAACGCCCGTGTAATCTGGAGTCATCCTTGCTCTTTAACTTGGGGTTTCAAGGCAGCTTGGTCAATGAGAATCGGGGATGTAGAGCTGACGGGTGTAGCAGCGTCTGTGCTTAATCTTCACAAGAAGGCGTATTCTTTCATACAGGGTCGCAGAAACGAAGCTACGTCATCTCCCAGAGCTGGCAAGAGCGAGGAATTGCGGTAACAGTGTTTCCCAATCGTCGATATCCAGTCCAAATCTGGCTGTGGCCCAGCCCTAAACCCAGAACGCTGGTTAGTTTAGAGAGATGAGTAAACTGGAAGAAGACATTGGGCTATGTTGGGTTGCCTTAAGTCTCTTAAGCACTCCAAAGCCTAGGCGCCGCCCTGGAAGAAGATTTCCGGGCTCGAGGGCGTGAGCGACATGAAGCCATCCGAGATGCTGCCGCTGCTTTCAAAGCTCGGGATTCTCTCCAAGGAGGTCTCGGTCGCTTCTGAGGAGCTCTGCATCCTCAAAAGCCTGTAAGCCTGAAATGCCCGATTCCATCTAGACAATTCAAGGGCTGCTGTCTTGTTGCACAGCATCAGCAGTCCCCCACTGTGAGCCTGCGAGTCTCCTCCGCGTCGATGTTGGTGACAGTATGCTGGGATTTCTGAACGCCTGTTGTTGTGTTCACTGCACTACGTACGTACACGGTCTTGTTGGGTTGGCAGCCGTTTTGGAGTCTGGGGCCGCGGGGAAATCGGGACACGCTCGCTTGAAGAGGTAGATCTTCATTCGTTATGGTCTAAGATCCGAGTGAAGAACCGTGCCAGCCTTCAGGCCCCAGAGTTCGAGGATGAAGCACTGTCGGTGTTCCTCCCGGCATTGAAAGCAGATCTGGAGACGCGAGCTGGTTGGGAAAACTTTTTTGGGCGCCGTTTGTGGGAGTTGAATTCCTGAAGCCCATGATCATCCGCGGCTCGCTGTGCAGAGCTAGTGAGGGCGTTGTTGGGACACCCAAGGAGATGTACAACAATTATTGCTGCAACATGCCACCGCTCCCTGGCTCAACTAAACACAGATCCTCAGTTTGGCCGGCACTTCAGAGCGCTTAGGTTCAACTTCGGTGACACTGCCGTTGCTGCTTTGATCGGTCTTTCTGATGCAGCCGTCTCTTTGGAAGATATGGAGGACTTTGTTGAGTCCCTGATTTTCTGAGCCTCCCAACTTTATCACGCTGTGTTGCAGGAATGGGGATCTTTTTGCCAAAGCTTTGAAGTCAAAGCCTTTGCTGGAGGGCACTTCTACTGGCAAGGGCAAGGAGGCATCCGGGAGGAGGTTCTGGCGTACTTGGCCGACAAGCTACGCAGATCTCTCCGCACTCTTCCTCGAAGCGTTCACTCACGTTTCGGTTGCGTGGAAAGCCCATCGCAGCTCTGCGCATTGACTACCTTGATTTCCCGGCATCCTCCAAACAGCTCGACGATTGAGGACAGTCCACCGTCTTGAGCTGATCCTTGAAAAGGTTCGCACAAGATTCGCAGGCCCCTGACGCCCTGAAACTGGCAACCCATCTTCGCTCCCAAATCCACTAAAAGGCCCTCTGAATGTCAAGCCGCCTCCCAAAGTGCAAAGCCGAAGGACAAGCATGAGAAAATCTCGCTTGGGGAGCTGCGGGCTCGAAGCCATGCGTTGGCAAGAGGCCTGGGCGATGTTCATCAGGCCACGGTGGCCACTTTGCCGCTTGGTAAAGAGTCGGTTTCGCCTTTGCTGCAGGTGTACTAGGCCTGACAAGGGCACTATTCCAAGCCTTCAAGCCAGGTGTTGAAAGTAGTGGGACATCGTACTACCACCCCAAAAACAAGGCAATCACTGCTCTCGGGATGCATTTTGATGCTGAGGGTGGGCACCTCGTTTCGGGCGCAGTGCATCACCAACCTCAGTTTCGGTGTTGTTTTCTCCGGTCGGCTGGATGTCTGCCAGCCTCCCCTTGTAGCTCCTGCAGGTCCATGGCAAATTCAGTTCAACTCAACGGAAGCAGCAACACAGCACAGGTGAAATCAAGGAATCAGCACCAAAGCTAGGGCTCCTGGAGGGGGGGGGAGTTGCAGGGTCCTTTTGGGCCGGGGCTCTTGCTTTCAACTCCAAGGCTTCAACCCAATATCTGAGGCAGACATGTGGCTTTGCCTCTGCAACCCCAACAAGTTGGGGTGGTTCCCGCATTTTTAAGGTCCATACAACCTCGTGGACTACCCTCCTTGGATTCGCAGCACCAGAACACGGTCACTACCCTCGTGTTATCGTTCTGCACCATCACGTGATATGCACACTTGACAATCGCTGAATGCTTCGCCTCGTCTCGGAAGGCCAATCGAACATGTTTGTGGAAGATTAAGAAGAGTGTGCTTACCGAGGGGATTGCGTCAGAGATAAGATGCCCCGAGCTTAAACACAAGTGTTTGGGGGGGTGCCAAGCAGGAGTGCTAATTACTGGGGCACACGCGTACTTTGCGGCTGCTTACGGATAGCCAAGGCCGCTAAGCACACTGTGGGGAGAGGCAGATGAACGCAGACAGAAGGTTCGGCAAAGACGAAAGCCACTCACCAACACAAACACAAAAGAGCATGGTTCCGCAAGAAAGAGGAATGGCTGCGAATAAGTGCAGTCTGCATGCTGAAGTATTTTCTTTAGGTGAGGCCCTTCAGGACTGGGGGGTATATGGTGTTTGCGGTGGCGCTCAATTCAATCATGAATATGTTTTTGATTGACAATATCAAATATAATCAAGCATGGCGACTTGTTACTCTTGTGAGCTTGATTGTTGCTTATGTTTGTCTCAGGCTGGTAGACTCAAATATGCACACGTAAACCTGTATGATAGTTGCGAAATCTCCGATCTGAAAGGAATGATAAAATTTGAGGGGGGCGCACACGGACGGAAAGAGCAAGAAGTGGTTGTGTTTCGAACAAAAATGAAAGTCCAACGTCGATCAACAAACACACCGAGACAAACAGACACGACAACAATGTGGGGAGGTGATTCGTTCTGATGACTTGAAAAGAAAGCTTGTGTGGTTTGGAGTATGTTGTGCATCGAGGTGCTGCAGTTATCGGGGGTCGCCTAAGCTGCTAAGGTTGCATCATGACATTGCCTTCGTAACAGCCATGCTCGCAATTTGGCAATCGAATGCCTGCATGATGGTGTTGGACAAGTCCTTTCCCCCGGCGCTGGTCGCAGAGAGTCTAGCTCTGGCTGGAGTTCGTGTCCTGTTGGTTGCTGCAAACCTTCTGCACAAAGTTAATGCAGAGGGTATTCGTGTCGTCACACATGAGCGGCACGAGCATTCTGGTGCAGCTGAGTGGAAAGGCTTGTCAGCCCCCTTTTTCAGCCGCACGGAGGATTTCATCGACCTGGAAAGCCCAGCCTATCTGGTCTTCACTTCTGGAACCTCAGGAAAGCCAAAGATGGTCGTAAGCAGCCATCGTAGTGCTACCTTTGGTCACCTGAGCAGGGCTCATCTGGTCCCTTATTCGGCCGGAGAGAAGGAGGGTGTGAACATCATGTTTTCATGGGAGGTCCTACGAGGGATTGTGCAGGGCACGGATGTGGCGTGCATCCCAGACTCGGCAGTGACAGATCCATCTGCCTTCCTCGACTTCATCGAGCAACGCAACATCACGCGGTTCCTGGCGACGCCATCGCTACTTCGTACCCTACTCGATGCCCTCGGCGCACCGGAGCAGGCGATGCAGGCCCGTGTGCTCCGCGCTCTGAAGCTAAGCTGGGTCTTATTGGCAGGCAAAGGGATGAGGGTATAGAAACCGGAATCCACAGCCCAGGAAAGTGGTGTACAGCTGTGGTGAAGCTCTGCCGGCCCAGACGGCGAGGAAATTTCGGAGCAGCTTTCCAGACGCCACCCTGGTGTTTGGGCTCAGGACAAGATAGGAGACAGAGAGTGTCTCTCAGACCGTGTGTTTCTCTCGTGTGATTTTTTCTGGCGTCTCGCGTGATTTTTGCTCGTTTGTTTTTTATGCGTCGACTTCGAGTCTCTTCAGAATGCTTCAGAGGCTTTGCTACCCATTCATGCGGATGCTTCATTTCTCCTCTCAGAGCATTCTCTGTCTGTCACATCGACCAGGTGAATGTGTACTCCAGCTGGGAAGGTGGAGACCTTGCTATCTACAAGGTGTGTTACCTGAATGGGGGGTCGCGGAGACCGGTTCAGGTTGAGGGCTTGGGCTTTGCCAATCTGTGAGGTCTGAGTTGAGCCGGTTTGGTTAGGATCTGCGGCCCCGACTCCCGCAGTGCTTGAATCCTAAACGTGAAACCCTAAACCCGAAACCTGAAACCCGAAACCCGAAACCCTAAACCCTAAACCCTAAGACTCTTCATAGCTCCGAACATCTTTGCTGAAGGTGCCAGACTCGGTGCACAGGTGGCCGCAGTGCTGTTCTGTAGCGCCAGTGGGCTGCCCTTCGGCTTACCTTGTGTTCGAGGGCCGTGGGGTTCTTCTTTCAGATGGTGTTTATTTAGGGCTCTTGCTTCTTGGTGGCTTTTTTTCGGATTTCAAGATCCTGAGGTCTTCTTCCACACACGGCATGCGCCATCCTCGATGGCAGCCTGCAGCCTGTGCCGGCTGGAGTAGTCGGGAGCCTCTACGTTGCCAGTGAGGGCCTCTCCGATGGCTACTTCAATGACCAGCAGCTCACGCAAATGCGCCTGTTGAGCACGGACCAGCTGCCTGCGGTGAAGGATTTATTAGAGGCCTCTTTCCCACACCTTCAAGAGTATCACCAGAGGCTGTCTTGGTACCAGACGGGTGATCTTGGGCGCCTCCACCTTACCAAGCAGCAGCCTGTTCTGGAAGTCTGCGGCCGTGGTGATAACACGGTGAAGTTGCGTGGCTACAAGGTGGGCTTGAGCTTCGTGGAAGAGGCAGTGAACAGACTGCCCCAGGTCTCTGCATCAGTGGTCGTACCAGTCCTGAGCAAGAGCTCTGGGCAGCCGGAGTCTTTACTTTGCTACTACGAGGCAGTGGATTCATCGGGATCCTCCCCCGGCCTTGAAAAGGCCATGCGTGCACAGCTGCAGCAGAGCCTCCCACGCTGGGCGGTGCCCGCACACTTCCGCCGACTGCCATGGGCCATGCTCTCGGGATCAGAGTCCAGGAAGATTGATCGAAGAAGGCTTGCTGTCCTTGCGGAGGATCTTCAGGTATCGGACAACTCGGAGCGGTCGGAGGCCCATGCCGCGGATCTCAACCCCATGGAGGTTAAGGTGGCTGAAGTTTGGTCCGTGGTCCTCGGTGGCACGCAGAGTTTCGAGAAGCAGCACGACTTCTTCGACTACGGAGCCAGCCTTGAGTTTGCCGCGCTGAGCTCAACCTTGAAACGCCTGCACGGGATCGAGGTTGGGGAGTTCGGGAGAGTTTTTTTTGTCTAGACTTTCCTTTTCGCAGACTACAGCGACGACGGGCGAGGGGTTGAGCAGGTGTTCATGGACTTTTTGCTCGATTTTTTTGGGAAAGCCTCCAGGTGCCCGTCAATGTGCTGATGGCGGCGTCCACCTTGGAAGCCATGGCCATGGCCTGCTTCAAGGTTTGCCTCGGCGAAGCTCTTGAGGCAAAACCAGCCTTCAACAGCGAAGCGGAGGCTTCCAAATTTCCACTAAGCACCCCTTCAGACGCATCCAGGGATGTACTTGAGCAGTACAAGGGCAAGAAGAAAAAATGCGCATTGCTGACTGGCTGCACTGGCTTCGTCGGTGTTCACATCATGAAGAAGCTCTGTTGCTCGCCGGCGGCCCCTGGCTGAGTTTGAGGGAGGGTTGTGTCTGCTGTGAAGCAGCTGTGAACGCATAGTCAGCAGAAGGTGGATAGAAGTACGATTTCAACAGTCGAGGTATCTGCAGTCGTTTGCCTCGTACGTGGCAGGGACGACTCGGCTGTCGAGCAACGCCTTGATGATGTTTGCCGGACTTGGTTTCCACAGGATGCAATGGCGGATGCTGTCTGGATGCGCAAAATACAGTATGTCAGAGGAGATGTCTCGGAAGAAAGGTTCGGGCTCGATCCTCATATTTTCCAGGCCATGAAGACTGAGGTGGACGTAGTATTCCACGTGGCCGCCGAAGTCAACATGCTCAAGCCCTATGAAGCTCTAGTCTCGGCGAACGTCACCGCCACAGCCCACGTCCTCAACTTCTGCGCAGAAGCTTTGACGAACGTGAAAGCTCACTGGGTCACTTTTTGGGTCATGCTGTCATGCTTACATATGATTAGATCAGATCTTTTTCATAGCCACAGCGGCTTAGCCTTCTGTCTGTCTCTGTGTGTATGTGTGTGTGTGTGTCTCTTTGTGTGTGTTTCTGTGTGAGCGAGTCACAAAACATGATGAAACCCAGAACTTCTCCAAAGCCCTCGTGCATGCCTCTCATCCCAAAAAAGTCCGACAAGCCTTCGGCCCGAAATCCACAACCCAGCAGCAAAGGAAGCGGGCGCGCCTCTTCTTTTCACCTCTACGGTGGAGCCCTCGCCCACGGAGAGACCTACCGGCTATCGGCAAAGCAAGGAGTGGGATGGGTCGAAGACAAGAACCTTAAAACCCTTCCCCCCGATGCAGTTGTGTCAGGAAGTGGCTGAGAAGCTATGCCTCCGAAGCCGAGGCTCACGGCATTATGATTCTTCGAGGTTGAAAGGGGCAAGTCAAGGGTCAGAGCGGCTTACGTATGCTGTCGTACCTTGTGCCCAGTGCGGTTGTGTTGGAGCACCCTTTGCGCAGGGTCTTGTTTGATCGGTGCGGGGTGGATTCAGGTGGGGCATCATGGCACTGAGCATTCCTTGTCCTGAACCTCTGTTGACACAGTTCAGAAGGACTGGCCGTCTGGAGATGCCTGAGATGCAACCTTGAAGCTTTCAAAACATCGGAAGGTGTTCCCTCGGCCGTGTTTCAGCTCGGAGACATTGGCATGGGCAGCGGTCGCTTCGCAAAGGTCCCTGCACCTCGGCGTCTTCCAAAACACACGCATTGCGGTGCAGGTCTGGTGAAAGGTTTAGGGATGTCGGGCAAAGGGCACAATCAGTTGCAGTTTAGTGCAAGTGGTTGGCCACGGCCCTGAGAAGCCCAGGAGAGTGACTTCATCGTCATCCTGCTGCGTGCCTGTGTCTTGCTTGGAAAGCGTCCTCGCGCAAACTGGGCCGTCAGCATTCTCAGCATTGAGCCTGGGCCGTATTCGATCAAAGGGTTCAGTGCTGAGCTCCATAAAGAACTTATCAAAGCTGAAGTCGGAGAATCACAAACAGGAACGCCTTGTCGACTACATGGCCGATCTCGCGTCCGACCCAGGGCTTGTCTTCGAGCCTTTGATGTTTTGAGCATGTGTTCGAGGGCCCATGGGGATCCCATGATTCCCACGCGGGCCCCTTTTGTGGAAGACCTTCGTTGCATCCGGCGGGGGGGAGCCAAGTCGCCGCAAGACATGAGCATTATGATAACTTCCACTTCCCGATGTAGAGTGCTTCGAGTCGACCCTTGAAGGATTCTGTTCCGCGAAAGCTGGTGGGCGCCAGGCTTCCTTGGCACCAGCTTTGTGAATGGCTTGAACCAGAGACTTGGGTGTGGCAGTGCGACGTTTGGGGTGCTGATGCTGTAGGGCTTCTTCAGAGTCAAGGGAAAGAGCCTCGGCCATATCCTAAGCCCAAGTTGAAGAGACCAGGAGCTGCCCATGAAGCCGTGCTCCCTGGATGCGTGGAAGAGGGCGGTGGCAGAAGCTTCCGATCCTGGCGTGCAGCGCTTGCAGCTTCTACTTCCTGGAATGGAGGCGGAGTTCCAGGCCGAGTTTCATGCCGAGTCCCATGTAAGCGCCGAACTCCCGGACCTTTCTGTGGACGAAGCTTGGGCGCGGAACCTGGGCCGTGCCTTGAGGGTGTCAACGGAGTCGACGAAGTCAGGGACGGATGCGACGGATGCGACGGTGTCAGCGACACTTCCCGGATTTGCCGGGTTGGAAAGGAAAAGGCCCGTGTTGCAAAGTCTCCGGGCCTCGAGGGCCAGCGCTGAGAGAGTCGACGCCGTCGACTCCGTCGACTCTGTCGACTCTGTCGACGCGTGGGTCTGCCCGGGCCCTGGACAGGAACTTGTGCAGAGGAAGATGCCTCTGCCGTTGCTTCGGCCAGAAACGGTGGAGATCCAAGTGACCCACTGCGGGCTTTGCGGCAGCGATGTGCACCTCATTGATGGCAGCTGGGCCTGTTTGTTCTGTTCTGCTCAGATGTTGCTTTATTTACTTGCGTGCCCTTTCCATTCCCAAGACGGCTCCTCTAGAATTCCGAAGTTGTCTTCGAAATCCCAGGTGACTGGGGTGACTCCTCTGTGTATCCTCAAGTCTGTGGTCATGAGATCGTCGGTCTTGTGACAGCAAAGGGAAGTGCGGTGACGAACTTGCGGATTGGCTCCCGCGTTGGGGTCGGATGGCAGAAGGGCAGCTGCCTTCAGTGCCGCCATTGCCTTAGAGGGAACGAACAGTTTTGCGAGGCTGTTGTCTGTACTTGTTGCGATGGTGAGCAGGGCAGCTGGGGATAGCATTCAGCCAGCTTTTTGCGTAGTCATAGTCTTTTGCCTAGTTTGTTGTTTTTTTTGGTGTCTCTGCATGCAGATTCGGCCTTGCAAGAGCTTGTCTCAGGTGGCTTTTGTACCCGCTTCCGCGCTGACAGCCGCTTTTGCTTTCTCATTCCGGATGGCCTCAGCTCGGCTCACGCCGCACCCTTGCTTCTTGGACACTGTTAAAGGTGCAACTTGAACTAGTTTCTGCAGGAACGCTAGGGGAGCACCACAGAAAAGAACCGAAGCTTTGAGTTGGACGTCCTCTAAACCATCTTGAACCTCAAGAACCCCCCACCTTTCCCCAGGCTCTGTGCGGGCCACACCGTGTACACTGCACTTCTCGGAGCGGAGCCAGGTTGGAGAGCCGGTGTTTGGGGGTTTAGGCAGTTTGGGCCGAAGCCGGGGTAGATACGGGACCAGGGGGCATCTTGTTGGGCTGTAGGGTCTTGGGAGTCTTGGGGTCCATTGTGGTTCTAGAGTCAGGCTCTTGAGGCACACATGCTGGAGGGCATCTTTCAAGGGGCTGAACCGTTGTGTTGTCCCGGTTCGACTTTCTCGGCGCTGAAAGAATCGTGGGCAGGTCAACAGGTGGGTATCCTTGGCATCGGTGGACTCGGGCACCTTGCAATCCAGTTTGCGGCAAAACGCGGCTGCATCGTCACGGCGCTGTCCTCCAGTGCCGCCAAGGAAGCAGAGGCACAGCAGGGCCAGAGATCCGATGAAAGTCCCCAAAGCCGGCCCATCAGCCCTGAGCCGAGGCCAAGCGGCTTGGGGCGAGCAATTTCCTTCTTGCTTCAGATCCTTGGCATCCTTGTAGTGTGTGTGTGTGTGTGTGTGTGTGTGTGCTTGTGGCTCCATGTGGCTCCTGTTTAGGTTGGGGAGAGCCCAATGTTTGACTTCTGAGGACTACCCAGCCAATGCGGGAACCTTGGATTTTGTTCTTGTCTGTGGGAACCACAGTGCCGATTGGAAGGGCATCTTAAACATGCTGGCACCTCAGGGTGCCATTTGTTTTGTGGGCGCGGTGGCCCCCATCACCTTCGACACCTTCACCATGGGCTTCAAGGGGCTGCGAGTCCTCACGTCGAACACAGGGGGCCGTAAAGAGATGATTGACATGCTTGACTTCGCTGCGCAGAAGAGAGTGGTGCCAATGGTTCAATCTCTGCCCATCGCTGAGATCAACGCTGGCGTCGCGATGTTGCGGAAAGGTTCGGCAAGGTATCGCATTGTTTTCAGCATGCCGCAGCATGCAAAACTCTGATGCTGGTCGCCTCTGCTGTACAGTTGAATTATCAGGGGCAAACCGATCAGGACGGCGTATGGGGGCGGATGGCACACGGCCTTCGGCAAAGGCCGTCGAACCCCCATAGCCTCCGTCGAAAGCCTTGGCCTTCGTCGAACGCCCCTCCCGGCCCTTGTGGCCTTCGTCGAACCTCCGGCGTTCATTTAGCCTTCGTCGAACCCTCGCGTTTTTTTTCGGGCTTTGTCTTGGCCTTTTGTATCGGCCTTCGTCGAACCCCCTCTCCCTTCGTCGAACCTCCCGGCCTTCGTCGAACCTTCGCCCGGCCCCCCGGCCTTCGTCGGCCCGTTGGATGTGTTTTCCCCTTAAATTAAGTTCTTTTCAGTGCCAACTCCAATTGCAACTCCGGTACATGATTAGCTGCTTAGCTCAGTGGAAGAATTCGGTGATGACCGTAACGCATGAAGTGCATGAGCATCATCTTCCGCAAGCGCAGGGACTGCCGAATACATTTTCCATCAAGTCCCGTCTTACCCCAATTTGGGCAGACATAGGTTTCGGAAGCAGCGATGAATATCGTCGCCGCACCTACCACTCCTACAGAGACTTGTCGGAATCCTGCAAACACCTGTGCCAACACACCGACATTGTCAGAAAGGACTGTGATCATGTGCTTGTTGCGGCCATGGCTGCCTTCGGGTGCCAATGCATGTTGAAGTTTCTTGCAACGTGCAGTTTTGGTTGTTTCTGTTGTTCTGGTGGCCTCGATTTCAAAGTCAGGTAGACCAGGCTGCAGGAGGATGGACCTGGATGTCATCAAGCATGTGTTGTACTTCTTACAAGCCCCAGCATTATCGACTTGGAACATTTTGCAGCGCACAGCACAACATCTTTTTGTTGATTAAACATCGCCCTTGCGGCAAGATGGCCATGAGGCCATGACGGGGGATGTTGAGTCTGCAGCCATAGCACTGCAAGTTTCGCGGCGACGGCTACAAAAGCCAACGCTGTGTGCACCTCCGGCCTTTCCTAGCAGATCTGACATGACAGGTCTTCTTCACAGGGGCCCAGCGGCCAGGAGGTGTGGTTGGACAGTATACTAGGATACCAGTTTCCACAGGGGTGAATCCGATGGTAGTCTAGAGTGTCGGGAGATTCAATGCCCCGCTTCGGAGAAAAACATCGAACATTATATGGAGCGCACCCACGGAATTCTTGCACAACAATGAACACTAGCAAGCTTTGCTACTGGTGCTGGTGCTGCTCCTGATCTAACAAGTACTGAGTAGAGTCATCGTACCATTATGCTCCGGGAGCAGCCACAGCTCCAAGCTCCCGGAGGTGGATCTGGCTTCCCGGCCGGTGCCCTGAATTCTTCAAAAAATCTCATGGGGCTTTGGAGGCTTGCGCATCGCGTGTTCCAGCTTTTGCAGTGCACAGGCCAAGCTATCGATTGCGTTCTGCAAAGTTGGTAGACTGGTAGAGTGTAGACAACTCCCATGACAGAAACCACTCGTCTGGATTAGTCCGCACCTGTAGTCGGTTGCCTCACGCAACTGAGGCTTTACCGGCAAGGTGGCGCGGAGGGTGCTGCTGGCCTGCCCCGCTTAGTGTGTTCCCAAGTTGGCGAGCGTGTCCTTCATGTGGGAAAGTTTGCTGAGCCACAGGGTGTAACACGTCGGGCGTCCTTCATGCTAGGTGGCTTCGGGGTTGACACGAGTAGTTGCACTCCGCAGATGACAACAATCTGACCGCACAGATGACATCAACAACATGACCTCATGCTGAGACCTTGCAGCTGGCAGAGAGATCTCGCAAGCTTTTGCCAAGAGATCGTTTTGCCAGATCCAGACGGTCAGTTCAGGCAGTTGAGTTTCGGACCCCTCCGTGATTTTATTCCAGGAGAGAATTCGACAGCTTCTATGGCTGTATAAACGTAAATGCTGTTCTATTATTTTGCTTCCCTTTCGCCGTCCTCACAGCCTCGTAACCGAAGTGCTGTGGGAAGATGTCGAATCATGTGCTTCAGAAGAGAGAAGCCCTTGAGAAGCTCACCTCACCCCTGCCTCAGTATCTGACATGTCGGAGTTCTTATCATGATTTTTCGGGCCTGAAGCTTTAGCTTCCATCAGTTGCTATGATTTTTCTTTTCGTTCCCAGGTCTCCATGAGTGGAAGACAGCCATTGATTGGCGGCAGCAGTGATAGTCAAGGAGGCGCTCATCTGAACAATGTCCTGGGGCAACCTGCCAGCGTGTTTCACAATCCCGAGTTCCACTCTTAATTGTTTGCATATCTGGAGGGGGTTGTGCTTTTGACGCCAAAATTGTTGTGTAGTCGAACTGAGGGAGGAGTGTCCGGCTTGCTCGCGCCAGAAATGGATATTTTCAATGCAAAGATCTGTGGCCCCGGCTCGGCGAAGCGCAGGGGAATCAGGTACTCGTGCCCCACACGCGCGGCTGGCCTGGCTTGATGCTGGTGCCAGAAAGGGACCCTGGAGAGAGCGCAGCTTTTGCAAGTTTGCCAGGAACTACCGACCCATCGCGCTGCCGTCTTTGGAGGCCAGATGGCATTGCGAGATCTACAGTAATATGCAGACACGCTTTGGTTGAACATCTTGGCTTAACACGCCAGGCCGTGTCCTCCGCTCCGCAGCTGGGTGGGGCAAAGACTGCCAGCAAGCAACTGATTGGTCCAAGCCTTTGACCCCCTCACCCTCGCACTGCTGAGGCACAGAAGGCTTGAAGGCACCCCCCAAACTTCCTAAACAGGGGCCCAGCACATGGCACAGAAGCTCCTGAGCCGAGGCACGCGGAATGCCAGCGTCCCCATGTTCATAGCTCCGACCTCAGACGACGGTGTTTGGCATGGCATGGCATGGCATGCTGTGACGAGGGGGAACTGGATTTGGGGGATTTAGCGGGTTCAGGGGGTATGGGGTTTCGGGGTTTCGGGGTTTAGGGTTTAGGGTTTGGGGTTATGGGTTTAGGGTTTAGGCCTTACCGCAAGTACCCAAAATCTGTACGAACCCCAATGCCCTAGACCAAAGCAAGCCGTAAAGCCCTTAAACTCTAAACCCTACACCCCGAAACCCTAGACTCCAAGCCCCACACTCCCAAACCCGCAGCAAACACTACGCCCAAAGCCCCAAGCCCCAAACCGTAAACCCTAAACCCTAAGCTGGAGCGAGCCGCGGGCGCTGCAATAAGCAGCGGCGAGCGATACCGCGTGGCGACAGGCCCGCGGACGAGCTCGAGTTTAGCCTGGCGAGGGCTCGGAGCCGTTGCGCGCGGTGAGCGCGGCCCACGCCTAGAAGGGTTTAACCCGCGTGCCAGCGTCAGTCTGGCTCCAAAGAGAATTACCCTAAACCTTTGGTTTTTAGTGACCCCGCACTGGTGCGTCCCCCTAAGGCTTTTTGGGCTCCTCCCGGACCGTTTCTGAGCCGTCTTTTTGGGCTCCCCCCGGACCATTTCTGAGCCCTGAGCCTTTTTGTTCTTTCGGACCGTCCGTTTCTGAGCCTTTTTTTGGGCTCCTTCTGGGCCTTTTTTTGGGCTAACCATTGAGCATTCTGAGCCTTTTCGGGGGCTTCTCCCGGACCATTTCTGAGCCTTCTTGTGCTCCTCCCGGACCATTTCTGAGCATTTTCTGATTCTTCAAGTCATTTCTGGTCCCCTTTCTTCTGTGGCCATCTGTTCTTCTGCTGCCAATCACCCTGCTTCCAGGATTGGCCCTTCCACTTGTCGGACTGCCACGAATCCTTGGCCGTCCACTGGCTCTGAGCCTTGGAGCCGTAGGACACTGGCAGTGTCGCCGCAGTGTGCGGGGGGGCCGTGACCGCTGCCATGGCCTGTGCCGCAGCTTGGGCCTGCGCCGCTTGGGTCACCAGGGCGGTGTAATGATTGACATCCACCTGAATCATCCCCTGTGCCACGGAGGACGAGGCCTGGGAGGGGCTTCCCCTGTCATGGTCTCTTCGACCTCTTCGGCTTCTTGAGCGACGCCTCCTCGGCTCGTCACTGGAGCTGCTGCTCCTGCGTCGCCTCCCCCTTCTGCTTTCTTTTGGCTGACTGGGGGCTGGCACATTGGGTCCGTACCCAAATGGCATCATGGGCCACATGATTCTTGAGTCCTTTCGGACTGGGGCCTTCGCCCTCTTGGTGTGCCACTCTCTTTTTAAGGGCCTTTGCCCTGAGATCCGACCCTTGTCGATCCTGTTGGTTCCCTGTGGAACGCTCGAGCCGAGGGAGATGCAACTGAAACATGCTGAGCTGAGCACAGGTCAATGCAACAAGACTTAGACTGTCAGAGTCTGTTGTCATCTGATTTTCCTTCTCATTCGTAAGTGGCTCGCTAAGTCCCTTTGGACTGGGGCCTCTGCCCTATTGATGTGGTTCTCTCTCTGTGAGAGCCTTCCCTAGATGGTCGACCCTTGTCGACATCGTGAGTCTGTTGCATAAACTCTAGCAAGGGGCCGAGCATCCAATGCTGTTCTCCTGCACAGATGACAAGATGCTGGTGCACTGTCAACCAATCCCTAGCCACACTCAGTTCTCAACAAGCAAATGCTCCCATCCTTCATGAGTGTAAGGATTGGACCTACGGTCAACCCTCAGATATCCCTTGCAAGATACCAACGCTGGACACTGAGGGGGCGGCGCCTTGATAGTCCTACCGACATGCAGCAGCAAGCACACTCCACCTTGTTTTCAGTTATGCAATAATTCAATCAATGTCAATGCAGCCACCTGGATTCGCCTGTAGACGCCAGAGGCTGTGGTTTTCCGTAACAGTCTCACTGATGCACGCATTCGGATCGTGCGTCCCTGTGGTGCTTGACCCGGGACTGGAAATATCTAGAGCAAACTCCTGGTGAACAAAAGATTCGAATTCACCATTCGCTCTACGCACCTGTTCAGTCCATGGGGGTGCGGCATCTGTGGTTTCATGCTGAGGCCACACTGTGGCTGTGACTGCAGACCAAGGAAGATGATGAGGAGGATTGGGGTCTTCAACATACAAATG